CCGCGTGGACCATCGTTCAGCTCCTCTTCCTCGGACTTCTGCCATCCCAGTGAAGGGATGGATTCCCAGTGGGGACTGTCATGGGAATGGGGGGGTGTCCCCGTGTTGCAGCAATATTTGCAGAAAAAATGCTGGGACTTAGGGCTCCTGGATTTCGTTCCAATCTCTGGGCAAGTGTCTTTGCAGGGGCACAGACTCTTCTGCCCATTTTTAGGCAGAATGCTTATGATTTGTTCATGTTTGGCTGGATTTTCATGGCAATGTGTCTCACACAAAAGCCACTCCTATTCCAAAGTTCAAGTCCTTACTTCAAAGCATGGAACTGGTACAGCTTTTCAAAGAAAGGCTCCTCTGAGTTTAAGATTAGTAAAACAATATATTTTTCCCAGCAGAAGAGTTTCAGCTGAAATTTTAAAAACAAATAAATGCATAAATCACAATTTAGCCTGAGACAGACGCCCAGCATGGACAATTTCAGCCAGAACATTTAAAGTTTGGCAAAGCTGTGAGAGACTGAAAATTGTCTCACCATGTGAAATGTGGGGCACGCTTCATATGAGGCGATATTATCAGCTGTAAGTAATCCAAGCTGCACATATAATTCATAAACGTAGATGTTAGGAAAGGAAAAAACAGTTTTAATAGATCAATTAGTGCTGTGTCCCAGCCTGAATCAAACTATTGAACAAAAAACCACAAAATGTAGTATCTGTTTCAGCAAATGTCTTGACACTGAAGTTCCCCAAAACATAAGTGAATCATTTCGCTACTGGTAAATGTATTTAACTGTATGTGACTGAATTTCCTTGAGTGACTTTTGAATACAGCACCGCTCTGTTTTCTTGCATCTAGTAATTATGCATTGACCCGGTGTGCTACAAATTTCCCTGTCAGACATGGAATAAGCCAAGGGGTCTTTGGTTTTGGCAGTGACATTATAGCATAAAATGACAAACTAAATTGCAATATGTGTAAGTTATAAAATTATCCCATAACTCTTTAAAGCAGATGTTAGCTTGCCATGCTCACAAAGAGTTAATCTATCCACATGGTACTTTATGTTCTTTAAAAACTGGAAGCGATTGGCCAAAGTGCTGTAAACCTGGCAGAAATTTGTTGCCTTGTTTTCTGCAAACCACAAGCACAGCTTATTAATTGAGAAATGAGCATTAACTGGCATTAGCTAGCATCTGTAAACTGAGAAAGAGAAATGCCCACGGTACGCATTCCGCTGTGAGCGGCAGAGCTGCAAAGCTGCAACAGGTAAAATTGGTTTTTAAGCGCGAATGCAAAACCGTTTTAGTCGGCTGCTGGCGAATGCCCAAGTCTAGGGTTTTTAATGAGGCTTCTGCATCAAAATAAGTGAAACCACATGGAATTTTAATTGTTCTTATTCTAAATATGAAACACACTGGAGCAGTATTCTTGAATCTAGGATGTTAGCATATATATTGGCATATTAACATGACCACTTCTCTGTTCTAAACGTGTAGCTCTCAGAAAGCTTGAGTGCCAGGTTACGTTAGGGAGGAATCAGCTTGGAAGATTTAAAAAGAGTTTCACTTGGGCTCTTTCAGATGTAAAGGTTTTTTTTTAAAAAAAATACTTTTTTTTTGCATTGTCAAGCACAATGAGCTGATCAGACTGTATAGGGATAGAAGATCACTTGCTGTGCTTGTTGCCCTATTTCTCTCTCTGATGGCACAAAATAAAGTCACTTCTCTTCACAAAATTGTGGTTTCACAATCTTGTGGCCACAATATGGGGCAGAGGATCTGTGCTTCACACGTTTAATGGAAACTATCACGAGAGTGGGAATTCACAGATGCAAATTGTTTTCTTGCTCTGATGGAGAAAAAATTAGCATAAATCTTTAATCCTGATGGGGAGAGGAATAAATTACTTACTTGCACTGTCATGTTACTATATTGCTGATTGATATCACTATGTGTGTGCAGCTAGCTATACAAAGGTGAGTGCCGTACCCAGAAGAGCTGTTTATCTTCCCAGACCAGCAAAGAGCTAAAGATTCATAAATGAGAATGCATCTGGTGTTTCCAAGTCAGAACCAAAATCAGCATTAACACAAGGAGGTAGCACAGAGAGAGGAGGAGGAGGAGGGTGAAAGTGCATCAGTGAGATCGTGTAACGGTGAGGACAGCAAGAAGCTGAGTTTTAGAGGTGGCTTTATCACAGAAGACCTTTTCTGATCTCCAAAAATACCTTTATGTGGTGGAGATACAAAAGGCTGGGAACAAATCGCCACCTGGTGCGGGGAGTTACGGAGTCGGCAAAAGGCATTTGGGCAAAAGGGGGGTTGGAGAAATGAGTGTGCAGGAGCCGTGCAGACACAGCCATCAGTGAGATAAGAAAGGGTTATGGTTATTTGGCCTTTGGGTAAACAGGATTGTGCTTTACAAGCAGCAGTAAAAACAAAACAAGTGTGGATTTACTGGGGTTAGTAAGGAGGTCTGTAACCCCACATTCGAACTGCCTACGTGTGGTGTGCACATTCCCAGTCACTCGACACATACGTGATCTCTTGGCAGTACCCCTATAGATAATATTTGGATCCAGGCCTGAAAAGGAGATTGCCTTTTAATGTATAAAACGGTGTGGATAGTTTGTTATTAAGAAAAAAAAAAGTATTGGTTGCAAAGAAACCAAAAATGCCAATGTTTTTCTACACCCCTACGCTCATACCAATTCTACCTTTGAATATGAAAGTCTTGTTTAGCGTCTGTCAGGGTAAACTAAGAGCAACTCTGTTCTTGTTGGGAGAGTTGCAGTAACAACAATAATAAAAAAAAAGAGGAGCATAAGCGGTAGCAGATTGAAATTCAGTATTTTGAGCAGCTGGGGGAATTATGTTCTAACCTTATATTTCCAGATACGTATCAGACCTGTTCACAATATAAAGGATAGTGTTCCAAATATTACAGCTTTGAATCTGGGTGGTATTGCCTCTGGCTATTGTTTGCAGTTGGGAACGAAAGAAGTTGCATCAAGTAGTAGAGTGTTTGCTGTAAAGGTACAAGTTATATTGCATTCCACAGGGCTGTGGTTGGAGGGGTTGATGATGGAGACAGACCCATTCACCCGTAGGTCACTGATTCAGTTCCAGATAAAGATAATAGTAATCACGTTGTCATCAGAGTTTAAAATGGGCTTTTACTGCCCATTTAAATCTCTGTACTCAATATCTTTTTGAGTCGGTGAATTATTGTCCCCGGTTTCAAACACCTGGCTGGCCGTGGCCCAGGTCCTCCAGCCTGAACCCACATTGCGCCTGAGCTTTGCCCCCCTGCTGCCTTTAGGTATCGTTGAAGGCGTGGATTAAATCAGGTAGTACAACGGGAGGGAATAGTGATCTAAAAACTACAAAATGTGCCACACGCGGTGGCAGGGGCCGTTAAGTCTATGGCTTATGACAGCAGCCATTGTTGTGGGTGCTACAGGGAGCAAGGGCAGGAGGGCTGGAGGGACCTTTCTTCTACACAGCAGGTTCAGGGAGTCAGATCCAATGCCTGGCTGGAAGGAAAAGCGTTGCTGCATCTTACGTTGAGGATGCTCAGGGTGTTTCAGTGTTTAGCACGTCAGTTTGGCACCTAAAAGATGCCGTATTTTCCTTTTAGGTAAATCAGATTTGGTAGATTGGCAAAGAGGTGGGCGAACCCTTGGATCTAGAGGACTGCAAAGCTGTAGAAGTATCACCCGGGAAGCCCAGGGAGAGCCCATTTGATTTCATGATTTTTCCCCTCTATTTATACCCTGCTCTTTCCAGCTTGCTCTCTCTGAAACGCTCTACATGTACCTCGTGCATACTGGCTGATGCATTTGCCTCCCTCTTGCTCCGTACTTGTATTAGGCTTTTTCTCCCTGTGCCTTTTCCCACACCCTTTTTGTTGTCCACTTTTCTGGCTCTCAATGTGAGTTTTCACCGTCTTTTTCTTCTCCTGCTGTCCATCCCACAGTCTCTTAAGCAGATCACCAAGCTACTAACGTTTGCTTTCCAGTTCTGCTCTGAAACTTTGGGTGTTTGATGTGGGATTAGAAATTAGACAAAATGAGTTTACCCATCCCTGTTTTGCGTTAGACTCCAATTCACAGTGTTACCATCCAGACGTTCACAGTAGCCGTAAACTGTGTGGTCTTTTTTGTTTTTTTCCAACCATACTGCACAGACTACATAGGAGAACAACTTTTTTTGTCAATGGCAAAAAGAGTGCTGGGCTTGTAATTTTCCATCGACTGCAATGAAGAATGAAATTCACATCTTTGCTATCAGCTCAGTGGCTTCGCCCATCCTTCAGATGCAGCAAATAGTATTTTGCAGCCATAAGAAGCAGCTGAGCAGATCCTCACCTAGATAAATTGATTTAAGGCAAGAAGTGATGCTTAGTCACCCCTGGTGTAACTTCCCTGGTGTCAGTGGTGCAACTAGCTCAGTGTTGCCAACTCTTGTAGTTTTATTACAAGTTGCAAGGTAATTTCTACTTTTCTCAAAACCCCAGCTCCCGGCAGCATGTGCTGAGGTGGGAATCTCAGTTTTTTATGCACTGAGATTTTGTGACCCGAGTTTCTTGAGAGGCTGTAGCAAAAACCCAGAGACACGTAACCCTCAAAGCTCAGAAACTAGGAGACGAATCATCTCCAAATCCACCTCTGTCTTTTTGGCTCTTTTGCAGTCTCTTAATTTTTGAGATTTTTTTTCCTTTCCTCCGGCCTGACTTGTGACCTTTGAGCGCTTTTCAGGCTAGCAATGCTGCTCCCTCCATTGGCATCGGTGGAGTTAGACCAGGGATGACTTTGGCCCAGCGCTTGTAGAAGACAGGTTGATGACTCTGTTCCTTGCAATGTATTAATTGGTATGATCTGCTGTTCTCTTGGGGGCCAAAAGAAGTGGGTTTTCTTAGAGAAGTAAAATTCTATCATCACTTGGTACAAAAAAATGGTATTTACAGAATTGTTTTCCCCCGTCTTTTGTTATAATTTTTTAGGTGCTTCAGAGCTGGGCCCATTTTCAGATCCCAGGCAGTTCACAAGCATTTCATCCCTCACTGAGAGCCGCTTCTCCAACCCACGAATGCACTATCCAGCCACCTTTACCTATACACCGCCAGTCACCTCAGGCATGTCACTGGGTATGTCCGCAACCACTCACTACCACACCTACCTACCACCACCCTACCCCGGCTCTTCCCAAAACCAAAGTGGACCTTTCCAGACCAGCAGCACTCCATATCTCTACTATGGCACTTCGTCAGGATCATACCAGTTCCCCATGGTGCCGGGAGGGGACCGCTCCCCCTCCAGGATGCTTCCTCCGTGCACCACCACGTCCAACGGCAGCACGCTCTTAAACCCTAACTTGCCCAACCAGAGTGACGGTGTGGAGGCAGATGGCAGCCACAGCAGCTCCCCAACCGTCTTGAATTCTAGTGGCAGAATGGATGAGTCCGTTTGGAGGCCGTACTGAGATTTCTTCCGTAGCCGGCCCGACCTCCGCGAGCCAAAAACAAAAACAAAACAAAACAAAACAAAAAACAACCCAAACCAAACAAACGGTCGACTAACTATGAAGTGCCTGGCTTTTGTGTTTCGCGCTTTTTTTTAGGAAAAAAAAAAAGAAAAGAGATTTTACCGATATGTGCAACTGTGTAGATGGGATGATAATGGCCATAAATAACACAGGAGTTACCAACACACCACAGCCCATGTTTCAGATTATGTGGATCAAAGCACATATTATTTTTTTTTCTTGGAACCATTTTACCTTGGTTTATATTTAAAATGTACTTTTTACACACACACACAAAATCACCCCTTCCTGTTCTGTTGGGTTTTTTATTTTTTATTTTTCCTTGATCTAGAGTGTTGTAATAACTAGTGAGTTCTTTTGCCAATGAGGAGAGAACGGACTCCCCAGCTATCAGGAGAAGCATGGTGATGCAAGGCAAAGGCTGCATTCCCTCTTGGTTTTTAATTAAAAAAAAAAAGAGAAACAACAACCCTAACCATGAACTCCAGATACAGTTGCAATCATACAACGTATGGGACCCTCTTCACATCTGTAGTGCAATTCAACTGGCTTGTATTGGTGCACATAAACAGGAAAGCAAAGATCAAGTTGCTTCCGTTTTGCCATGATACATTCAGATGAAAACTCAAAAAACTCCGTCCGAGCCTTGCTGCAGATAACAGTTGGAACTTCTCTGTGTTCGTTGCTTTTTTTGGTTTGTTTTTTGGGTACTTAAAGAAAACGAGTCTTCAAGTTAGGCTAGACAGCCCTAGGGTTTTCCTTTTTGCTTTTGTATCCATTCGTTTTGCCTTCCTTTAGCCAAAAACCAAAAATAACAACCAAAACTTTTAAAAACAAAAAAAACCAAAATGTTGTTACTTATGCAAAATATGAAAGTGGCAATATATATACTAGAGCCAAAATGGTATACATAGTATTTGTGTTCGGCTATGTTCTTTTTTAATTTTTTTGTTTTAAATTATAAATGTGTAAGATTTGAGGTTGTTTGCTAACATGAATCATCATATAACTTTAAAAGAATATTTATAATTATTTAATGACATTTGGACCCTTTAAACGTTTCTTAATGTAATGATATATTGACTTCGGTCTCTAAAAGTGTTTGGGTTTTGTTTTATTTTTTTTTAACTTAGTACATTTCTGCAATGGTGCAAACCTCAAACCTTTACCCAACTCTGAAAAGCAGTTCCAGTGTGAACCAGTTTACAATGTGACTTAAAAACGACAAACCCAACCCAAATGCATCCACATCAAATGATTCTGGATGTAGGATCTTTTTATATAACTTATGAAGGAAATATTGTGTTTAAAATATTTTTATTAGCTGTCTGGTTGCCTTCAACACAGTCTTGCCTTTTAATCAGTAGTTGTGGAGACACTGGAAAAATGGTAGGAAGGATGAAATATTTTCCAGCCTTCCCCTAATTTCTTCTTCTCCCAGGATTTTTCTCAGAACTTCAAAATTTGAAAATGTTCGTATATAAAAAGCTCTGGTTTGACAGCATGATTTGAATTTTGACAGTTGGCTTTTTTCCCGCTCAAAGAGAAACCGAAACAGTTTCAACGCCCGCATTTTACAAACGGTCAATTGTTAAATATCTCAGAAATGGGATTAAAGGGAGAATCGGCGAAAATTCTTTCCCCTCCCTTTGCAATTTCCACCCACTCGATGGAATAAAAAAAGTTCCAACTCTGAGACACAAACTGCCTGGTAGCGCATCACCGCCCCGTAGCATTAAATGCTAGAGCCCTACGGAGGCCGTGTTGACTCGGAAGCTGGCGCGGCTTTTGCCGAATTAGAGAAACGAGCCCGAGGGCGGCGATGCTCAACCTCTGCAAACTGCTGAAGATAATCAGACACCGTAAAAAAAACCCACCCTGGGGCTCCCAGGCGTGAGACAGGGGGAGCCAAGTGCGCCCGAAACGCTTTAACCAACCTGTCTGCCGCCAAACGCTCCGGCGGAGAGTATCACCATAATAAACCAATGGTGGGCACAGCCGCCCAGAGCCCGGCAACACCGTCGCTGCTCGTGAACAGCGAAGCTGTTGAACGAGTTGATGTTAGCGTGGAACATCGCTCCGATTTTGCGTGTTGACGTGCTCTTAAAAAAAAATAATAGTAAATTTAATAAAGTCTTTGCCTTCTAAAGGTTGTATACCAAGTATGCTTAAAGTATAAGTAAGACACTTTTTTTTTCTTTCTTCTAATACTTAGTTTTCCTTCAAAGATGGAAGCTGTAATTGATTCTATTTATTGTTGGTTTGTGGTAGCTTGAAGCATACCACTGTCCATTTATTTGTAACTGTAAAATACGTTTGTTAGTCTCAGCAGCACTTAAAAAGCCAGTGTCTGGTTACACATTTCAGTTTTGTTTTTTGTTTAGTAAGCAAGAGAAAAAAGATGTACTGCCAGTGCAAGCTGTTTCCTATTTAATAAAAGGTACTATATTTGTACATTATTTGTTATTGCTGAGAAGGGCTTTTTAAGGTTTACTGTATGCATATTAAGTAATTTTTAGGGTGCTTTTGTGTTGAAATGTTGTTAAGAGTGGCTGCAGGCAGCAACCCATTTTTTTTTTTTGGTCGATTTTTTTTTTTTTTTAAAAGACTTTGTTATAAAATTCAAGCACTTGGTTTTTGTTTCTGGATAAATCCAGCACAGACCAGACTTTTGTTTTGCTCGGTACCAAAAGGACTCTGTTTGTGTCCCAGCGGTTTTTCAACTGGACCCATTAGGGACAGACGTTGAAAACGCCTTCTCCTCCGGGTTGAGGTGCACGTGCCTGATCCGTGCCCTCGGCTTCCCTGGCTGGGCAGGCGGGCGTCTGGCTCTGCCGGCTCGAGATAGAAAGGAAAGGATTTTCTAAGTACCTACGGGTGGAGGAGCACCGTGCCCTTGACTTTCAGTGGACCCCCTGTGCTCCTGAACTCTCCTGGTGCCTTTGGAAAATCTCTCCCGGTACGTCAGGCTGGTCATGGCGGGAGTTGTACAGGCTGAGGCAGAGATACTCATCAAAGCTTTTTGGAAAATGCTTTCGAGTTCACTTGGAAATGCTGTCGAATCAGGGTTTCAGACCCCCCCCAAAAAACCCCATGTAGTAAATCCCCCGCTATGTAGTAAATCGTATCAGATTGTTGGACGTTTTGCGAGGTGCTTAGCATCGACAAAAAGGAGTTTTCTGAAAGGTACGACAGCCCTTCCCTTTGGTGAGCGGCAATCTTTGGCACTGGGCATGGATGTAAAGATAACCAAATGGCCTTTTTTAACTGCCCAGTGCTCTTATCCTACCAAAGATTTACTTCCAGCACAACAGGCACGGTGTCCCTTTTGATGAACAGAGGATTAAATCCTCCTCTCCCTCCTCCTAAGAGTAACCAAATCAGGGTCAGCAGGTCGGGACGGATGAGTAAAGCGAATGATTTAACCCACAGCATCATCCGTGGGATGTTTATCGTTTCTTTTCAAAGACCAGCTGCTGTGTCTTTCTTAGCGTTGAACTTTTTTTGCCAGCAGTTCCCCGAGCAAAGATTTACCGATTTCCAAAGGTACCATCGCGAGTGGGGAAAATTTTGCACTTTCACACTTAGCAAAGCAAAGCTCAGCCCCGCGCCGGGCTGCACGCGGCTAACAAGCCATGAGCAAAAGCAATAATTAAAACCTGGATCAGCCATGAGCTCAAAGAAGCCCCATTCTCTGAACCCCTGAATTTCTTGTTGTTTTTAAATAGAATGCATTTCATTTTAACATTTTCTGAGAACTTTTTTAGATGTTTGTTTACTTCCATGTTTACAGATAACCCTTTGCTTTTTTTTTAATGCAGTACTTTTAAGTATATCAGCCAAAACCATACTTTTACAGTAACTTTTGTTTTAGGTGATATGAGTGACATTCCAATTTTTTATTTTTTTTTTTGTTGTTGCTAAATATGCTTTACCAGTCTTGAATTTCCGCTGGAACAAAATATTTGTAGCATTTTGTGTAAATACAAGCTTTAATTTTTTATTTTTTCAAATGCTGTCACCCAAGATTTGCTTTTCATGCACATATTGTACAAACACACTCTGCTTTATGCCACAGACGATGATTGTGGATCAGTTTACTTCAACTTCAAAGGGACTATTTGTATTGTATGTTGCAACTGTAAATTGAATTGTTCGGCATTTTCTCATGATTGTAATATTAATTTGAAGTTTGAATTTCATTTTCAATAAAATGGCTTTTTTTTTGTTAATATTCTTCTATGCTTCTTTTTCTTCTGCTGTCTCCTCTTAGCACCAGGCAGGGTAAAGTACGTGTTAGGACACAGTACCGGCCCCATCAATTTCTGCAGCACTTAGGTTTGCAGTTGAATAGGAAAAGCAAGTTTCCAGGCCTCTGGGGGATGAAGGACACCTTCAAAATCTGATCTCAAATGTTGCTTCTTTTCCTGAGTCTGCCAACTATCAAAACCTGTGTTTCTTAGAGGAGTGAAAACCGCTCCATTCATCTCTCTGGGTTGTTCACTCTGAAACCTAACGACTGACATCAGCCAGGACTTTGTGGTGCTACGGGTGCTCTGGGCAGAGCTTGAAGTGTAGGAAGAGCTGGAACTGGATTTCCAGACCAGGGTGGGAGAGATTGGGGCTTATGGCATTTTTCCAGGATGGGGGTTGCTCTATCCCCACCTCTTCCTGGTCACACCTGAGGAATGCAGTTACAGATCATCCTGATTTGCATGGCCTGAGGCAGGAATAGTTCCCAGGCGGCAGCAGATGTATCGATAGGGAGGAGAATGGGGAGGAGACTATTTTCCCTCCAGCCTGGTGTCAGGGGAAGGAGGAGATGCAGCTAATGAAGGTGAGGCTAAGTTCACCCAAGGCTGTCTGCGGGAGGAGAGGTGGTTGCAAGCTTGTGCCTGGTTTCATAGTAAGTTCTTATGCTTTTTAGCTATTTCTTG